TTTCCCCCCCCCCCCCCAACCCAGAGACTCTCAACAGCCTATCCCCAGCTTCATACTGGAGCTCTGAGCAATCATATGGCTTTTTTTACATAAAGAGATTGCTGTCTCTTCAGGTTGGTCTCCTACTGCACTTCCCAATCTTTCTTTGCATCGGGATAGCTTGCTCTTCTGCCTTGAAAGCAGGAAAAACAACTGCACAATAGCAAAGGTGTCTGAGAGAAATGTCCCATTGACCAAAGGAATGTCAGAAGTCCCAGCAGATAAATTTTTGAGGCTATTGAGACTTGTAAGGAATTAGGACAATGCTAATAGGAGAGGCAGGATGGGACTGGCTTGGAAATATTTTAATGGCTGTCTGGCAAGGTGGTCAGGGTCTTTGGGTTGTCTCGGGTAGGATGAGTCCATGTCCCTAGCAGTCAGAGCGGCCAGGATCACCAGGAAGATTGATATCTGAAAATACTGGCAGGTCTCGCTGAAGGATTAGTTGATAATCAGATGCGAAGATAAGAAACTTTACTTGTCTCTTGTTCTGTCTTCAAACTTAGGGTCAGTTTTTCTAATATTATTTATTTTTCTCCTATATAATAAATCCTTTAGTTGTTTTGTTTCCTTACTGAATTCCTGTAGAAAGAGTGTTCTCTGGGTGAGTGTTATTCCAAGCCAACCCATTCTTTGGAAAGGGGGACCTAAAATTCTTTCACAATCACAGGGAAACTTCCTGAAGCTGGCAGAGATTACTCTGATATAGCTGTGAGGTCCTGTGTAAGGACAGTAGAGCTGAGGCTTGCAGAAATAAGGAGTTATACCAGGGCAAACCCTGGTTTGTTCTGTGGGATAAACAGAAGGACATCAGGAGAAATGTGGCACTCTGGCGTGATACGCCACAGGTGGGTTTGATACCCACCTTTTAGTAGCTTAAGTTTTGAAATTTATCAAAGCATCTGTTTTTGGCTTAGGGTGGAGTCAGAAAACCACTTTGTGTTTATAAATTTGGATTAGATACTTAAACTACTTTTTAAGCACAGATAAGTTTAAATACAGCTCCCAATTTCTGTCTGTTCTCTTCTGGACTGTCAGGTTGCTTTGCTATATATGTGGTTAAAATTGTGTGGTATACAAGGCAGGTGAAGACCCTTTAATGCAGGGTGGGGAGGCTTCAAAACAGTACAGTTGTAGAACTTCATTAGATATTTCCACTTGATTACACACTTCTGACTCCAGTGTCCAGAATTGTGTAGTCATGTCATGATCCTATTGGGGTTGGTCTTGAGTGAATTGAAAGTGGAAGTATATCTAAAAATGAAAACACCAAGTGAAGAAGAAAATTCTCTTAAAAGCTTTTCTGCTTCTATATTTGATAATAGCCTTTTTCTGTGCAAAGAATGTTTTCATGAAAATAGATTTAATTCATCTAATGTTTACTTCTCATATTAAGTCTCTGAATGCATCATCATAGAAAGGTTTCTCTGATGTAGCTTTGTGAGGAATACCAATAGATGATTTTTTTTAATAAGTTCTGTTTTCCAGTAAACATCTTAGTTCAAGACCAAGTAGAGTGACATAAAGCAACATGTGCCATGCGTTGTTTTACACGAGCATATGCATGGACTGTTATTTCTGGTTATTTAAGAGTCCCATCTAATACGTTGGAAACTTTATTTTCTTGATGAACATAGAATAGGTTTTTGCTTTTTTCTGAATCGGTGGCAAGTTACCTTCCTTTCTTTCTCTCACCTTCCATTTTTGTTCTTTGTTTTCCATCTTTTCTCTTATCCCTCTTTAAATAACTGTGTGACTGGGAACAGATAGATGTTCCTACAGGAGGTGCAGCGATATATCAGTCTATATTGGATCAGCACCAATAAAAGGAAAATTGACATTATTGGCAATCAGTTTTTTTTGGTCGGTGTAACCAGTAATGTCACTGATTAAATGCTGCATGCATGTAACCAAGAATGTAGCCTGACAGCTTGGAGAGCAGCATCTGGCTGATAAATCTGTTGAGGGGAAGGGGTGTGGGGGTGCAGATTGAGGGCTCCCCCCCCCAGGGAGGAAGGGAGTGGGCTGGTGTAGGGCTAGGTGCTGCCCTGCTTGGTGGGGTGGGGTGCAGGATGGAGCTGTGGGTGGCTTGTCCATGGGGACGCAGGGGGATGGGGAGGCATGGGGGCATGTGTTCCCTCCCCCCTGCCGATTTATGCATAGGGCAAGGGTGGGCTGCCTGCTGCAGGGCCAAGGGCTGCACCAGCCTCTTTGTGGCAGCAGGGCTGGGCTGGGGCTGCACTCGGGGGGGGTGGTGTTGCTCCAAGGGAGGGCTACAAGAGGGTTATGGCAAATTTTGGAGAGGCCATAGCCCACCCAATAGCCCCCCCTCCCAGGACCACCATCACCACCCACTGTCCCCCTGCCCACTTCAAGCGCAGCCCAGCCCCCTTCCCTCCCTTGCCACCAGGAAACAGCTGGTGTAGCCCCTGGCCCTGAGCCCGCAGTGGGCAGTCTGCCTTCACCCTGCACACAAATTCAGGGGGATGCATGTCCCCTGTGCCTCTCCTGGAGGTGTACACAATGGTGGGGAGCCCCCCCTGCACCCCTTGGACGAGCTGCCCATGGCTCCATCCTCTACCACACCCCAGCCCTACTCCCCATGGGTGCCTTGATCTGCTCCCCCCCCCCCCAACTTATTGGCTGGACACTGCTCTCCAAGCTGCTGTACTGCATATCAGCTATCAGATCGGTATTAACAAGCCATATAGGCCAATAATTGGCCAAAAAAAGCTTTTATTGGTGCACCCTTAGTTTCTATAGTGTTTAACATGTATAAAGATGCCAGAAGTACAACACAATGAAGTAGAGAATGGGATTAGTTTGAAAACTAGGAAGTCTGCTTTTATTTGACTTAGTTCAGGACATGTTCAAGCTTTAAAAATAGTCCACAATTTTGTCGCCTTCTGTCATCTTACATAATTTACAATGAAATTTGAAACTTTTACAGCTATTTTCTGTTGACTCGGCCCTGACTTAAATGTAGCATATGTAAGCCAAGCCACTCAGAATTGTCTAGTTTCAGTAGATATGGGATAGAAGTCATTAAATATGTACAAAGAAAAGTAGAAGATTAAATAAGAAAACAATTTTTATCCTTTATTTACTTGGAAATCTGACTAGAGCGTATTTTAAAACCTGGCTGAAAAAGAAGGGAAAATAGTGTAACTGATAATCTTTATCTAACCAAAGACACCACTGTCAGTGTTAAGCTCTTGTGTTTAATTTTAAATATTTAAGCACAATAATTTTTCCATTTCTTTTTTTAGGAACGTCATCCTACTCTCATCAAGGCTATGGCTGTGAATCAAAACTCTATAGCCTTGACCATGGCCAAGAGAAACCTCAAGACAAGAAAAAGAAAACCTCCAGTCTTGCCACCCTCAAAAAGAAATTTATTAAACGAAGGAAGTCTAGCCGATCGGCAGATCATGCCAAACAGATGCGAGAGCTCCTCTCGGGCTGGGATGTCAGAGATGTCAATGCATTAGTAGAAGAATATGAGGGAACCTCAGCCTTAAAGGAACTTTATCTACAAGCCAATTTGGCAAGACCAGAAACCAGGACGCTACAGAAAGACATGGCTGATCTGTATCAGTACAAGTACTGTACTGACGTGGACTTAATATTTCAAGAAACTTGCTTCCCTGTGCATCGTGCGATATTAGCAGCAAGGTGTCCATTTTTTAAGACGCTGCTTTCTTCCTCACCAGAATATGGTGCAGAGATAATAATGGACATTAACACAGCTGGCATTGACATGCCTATGTTTTCCGCTTTGTTACACTACCTTTATACAGGAGAGTTTGGGATGGAGGATTCAAGATTCCAAAATGTTGATATCCTTGTGCAGCTTAGTGAAGAATTTGGAACACCAAATTCCTTGGATGTTGATATGCGTGGGCTGTTTGATTACATGTGTTACTATGATGTGGTTCTTAGCTTCTCATCCAACTCTGAATTGGTTGAAACTTTTGGTGGAAGTCCAAACTGCTTAGATGAAGAGCTCAGAGCTCACAAAGCTATTATTTCATCACGGTCCCCATTTTTCCGACACCTACTGCAGAGGAGGATACGGACTGGTGAAGAAATTACTGATCGAACTCTACGGACTCCAACTAGAATTATACTGGATGAATCTATCATACCAAAAAAATATGCTAAGGTCATTTTGAACTGTATGTATACAGATGTGGTGGACCTTTCGGTTTTGCACTCCAGTCCCTCAGTGGGGAGTCTAAGTGAAGTTCAGGCTCTTGTAGCAGGAAAACTAAACATGACTAGGGCTGAAGAAGCTATGGAGCTTTACCACATAGCACTGTTCTTGGAGTTTAACATGCTTGCTCAAGGTATGTAGTATTGTGTTCACTTCCAAATAAGTGACATTTCCTAAAATTGAATGCAAGCCTAAATTGCTGCTTTCATGTGGGTTATTTTTTTAATTATGTTTTCTTGATTGCACTTAGCACTAAATAAGAGCTGGCATTTTTCAAATCTCAACATGCTTTACAAAGATAGCAGATGAGTAGTATTTCCATTTTATGTATAAAGAAAGTGAAGTGCAGAGAATCAAAGCCATTTTCCCCAGAGTCCCACGGTAAGCCAGTGAAAATGCTCTAGTTAGTCTTCCATGTTGTTTTCCATAAGTCACCTTATTTTAGCTAAGAACTTAAATACTTATTGTACTCCTGAATGGTAACAGTGCAGGTGTACAAGTGAAACATGATGGGAGATTCTGTATTCAGAGTTTCACCTTTTATACAACGTTAATGATTAAGTGGGCATTTGCTTTGGAGATGCTCATTTGCAGACACAACTTTAAAAATCCAGCAAAGTAATTTTTGAATGTTTGTTTTTAATCCAGTCTGTTTAAGGTGGGGCAAAATAGTGGCTGTCTGTGGGTTGTGTTTACAGTATAAGAAGATATCATTCAGAGTGCAAGGAGAACCAGCATCTAAGGAACAAAACCAGACATCTTATGAACAGCCCTCTGAGCAGTTTGCATGAGCATAAGTGCTAAACTGGAGTGACGGGGAGGGGAATGGGGATGAGAAATAGAAGCTCTGGGAGTGAAGGGAGTGGTCTGCTAGTTAAACATGGCAGTGTCTGCTGCATACATGCTGCAGGAGGGCTTCCTGTACTTCCAGTTGTGCAGCTGGTAGAGATTTTGGTTTCAACATGACATGGGAAATGCTGTGGATCTCTGAGTTGGAACCCACTGCCTCTGAAAACTTATGTCTGCTATTCCAGTCTGTTGGTACCAGGATGGGTAGTGTGTTGGTTTTAGATGTGAAAGGGAGACAGTTACCTCTTTGATCTTCCTGCACTTCACTTGTACGTTCCTATTTAAACTCATGTATAAGGTTAAACAGTAATTTGTATTTATACCATTTACCTCCCGGCTTGGTGCTTCTCAGCTACTTGGGGGAGTGCCACATCCAGGCAGTGCCTCAAGTTACTAGTCCCTCTCCCTCTGCCTGCCCTGCCACCTCTTGGTTCCTGCTGGGGCACCGTGCAACTTCCCTCCTGTCTTCCTTGCCGGACTGTACCCTACCCAACACTAAATGATAACCGGTAAGCTACAACCAGTTATCACTGGGCTTATTGGCTAAACAATTAACCATTTAACCATTCATATGCCTAGTGACTGGTGATTTTTTTTTGTTTGTTTGTTTTTTTGTTTTGGTGGTCTTGAGGGAGGGGGTTGTTGTTCCCAAAGTAAAACACATTAAAGGACATCATCTTCAGAAAAGATTACCTCAAACTGTATCTCAAACAGAGCCCCTAAACTCAGTAGTTGCTCTTTTGAAATCTTGGCTAAGCACTCTTTGATGGTTTTACTCCAGGGGGTGGGGTCAGCATGGCACAGTGGATGAGAGATCTGAGTGTTTAGGAGAGCAGGAGCATGGCTTTGAGAGAATCACCTTTTGTCTCCCCATCTGGAGATGGGAAATGACAGTGTGAAGGCATTCCCTAAAATGAAATGCACTGAGACTCTTATAAACACCTATTCTGCCTCTTCAATAGTTTAAATTAATTTAGTGTAATGTTTCTGGTATGTCTGCAAAAGAATACCAGAAAATATACTTGTCGATGTAAATGACGGAAGAAGTAGAAACAGGAAGACTAAAGCTCATAATTGAGACTGAAGGAAAAACAAGATCATGTGGTCTGTTAAAGCTGTAAATTTGAGTGTCTGGCTATGTAAATTACGCAAGATAGATTACATGATTGCTGTGGATTATTGGGGAATTTAAGATTAACTTAAAACTTTTAAATTGATATGGACACATTGGCTAATGAAACAGAATATTTGAGCTATTTTTCAGCTTTCGGTAAATTTTTCAAATCAGTCAAAAGAAAGTTGAAGGCTAGTTGGTTCCAGTTAGATTTATTCATAAGAGGTCACCACAGGGTGTGGACACACATATATTTGGAGTTTTTTCAAAAGGGCAACAGCATACTACATCCTAAAGGTTGTGAAAACCACTTCAATTTAAATACTGCTTCATGAAAGAAAAAATGTGGAATGAATAAGTGATATGAAGTGAAATATTACTAGAAATATTTGGGCAATGGTTCAGTCACTGTAGCTTTATGGAATGAATGATGTTTATGATGGAAATAAAAATGCCTTCGGGAGCACAACTTTGTTCTTTTATCAGGATTTAAGAAGTTTGTTCACCAGTGAGGTGTGGGATGCTGCTTCACAAAGGGAGCTGGGGTTGGGAGCCATCAGCACATGCAGAATTTAAACTTTCAGTGTCCTTTCAGTGCCCTTCTATCTAACAGTGATTTGGGTAGTGCAGAGCTGTCTTCCTCAGGTTTCAAAAGCCCTTCTGTATCTGTATGTTTTGGTGAGGAGGGTAGGTTTGGGCCTTACCAACTCTTTAGTCTGTGGTTTGTTACTGTATCTGCTGTTTGTTTGTTTGAATTCTGTGTGCTGCCATGTTGTATGCAGCTACTCCTTGCTTAATGTCGTAGTTACATTCTTGAAAAATGCGACTAAGTGAAATGATGTTAAGCAAATCCAGTTGCATCACAGTAGTTGCATCACAGTAGCAGGCAGCAGCCAAATAACTTTATAACCAAACATTGTGCGACTTTAGATGAGTATATTCTCTAATAGATCAGCGATGTAATAACAAAACAATGTTAACCAGAACGACATTAAGTGAGAAGTACCTGTACTGTATGGGACCTCTATATGGGAAGCATCTGGTATTGTCCCACTGACAGAGATGGGATACTAGACCAGTTATTGGTCTCATCTGCTGTGGCAATATCTATATGCTCATCTGAGGCACCCTGTAATGTGCTGATTTTGACCTGAAGGTACAGTACATGGCAGGCTCTGAGTATTTGTGGCAGTTTTGGAGCCACCCAAGGATAGTAGCATGTAGCAGCCACAAGGGTATCTAATCTCTTGGGGGAGGAGGAGGAGGAGGGGAAGAACGTTTTTGGGGGTTGGTAGACAGAGTACAAAGCCCTGTTGTTGAGGCCACCATCTAAGAGCTCCTTTCCTGTGAGTCCATTTCCAGTGCTGTCTAATATTGGTCAGGCATTGCACAGATATAATTCGGGACATAATTTGTCTCATGGAAACTTGATACTGATGAGGCATAAAAGATTGTAGCTTTGACATTCAGATCCTAGTTCATATTCAGGCAATTTCAGAGAGAAAAAAACCCATAATTTTATTTGTAAACTGGCAGATGAGATGGAATTTGGTGAGACAAGAAACATGCAGCTCGGTCTCACTTTTCTGAAGAGTTCTGCACTTTAAGTAGTTTCTGATTGTAACAAGGGACTTGGCTGGTTAAGAAAAGGTATAGAGACTTGGATATTGAACAAATGCTATAGAATAAAAGGCTTGGGTACTAAAGAATAGATAACTTTTAATATGAACTGTCTATACCACTATACAGTAGTATAGAACAATGAAATGCGAGGAGGAGTTTTAGCTTATTGAGTGTATCCTCCACAGGAAGTCTGTATCAGGAAGTTGTTTTGTAATATTCTTGAAGACTGAAGCAGCATCAGTGTTAACATCTTATAAGAGCTACCACAAAGACAAAGGATGCGTGTTTCTTGAAGAACTTTACCGGGGTGGGTGGGACGGTGTCATCTCCTCCATAGTGTTGTTCCTGGAATCGTGGCTAAACTTCCATAACGTGGAATACAGTCTTTTTTTATAACGACACTTTCTGAAGAACTTGCATCAAAGGACTGTCAAATGCCGTTGATTCTGAAATTGTATAGCATGCGGAAAACCTTCTGTATTGCCTTTATAGGCTGCCTGTATGCCAAATTTGGTCAGCAGGTCCTCAAATGAACTGATACCAAATGAGTCTCTTGATTTATAAGGGAAGTGCCAAAGCATTGGTACCGTCTGCTTACAAAGCAGGAAAACAAAACAGGCTCTAGGTAAGATGAGTGTGTTGAGAATTTAAATGTTAATAATAGAACTTGCAGGAAAGTAGTAATTGTTTATAAGTACTGCTGCTGTCTCTTAACGTGTTGATAACTGATAAAGGCATCTTGAAGAGAACATTTTTAATAGATAATAAGTAGGGACAAATACTCATGCAGATATGCAAATACTTGGTATATATCAGTAATTCTCTACCAGGGTGCTGCAGGTTGCCACACAATGTTAGCACTCTGAGGTGCGCAAACCCAGAAATTTCAGATAAGAATCCCTAGTGTTAAAAACATGTTTGGGGCTTTCTGAGTTCTTTGCAGTGGAAGAATTGCTCCAGGGAAAACTAAGAGCTGACATTTTCCAAGGGGTGCCTGGAGTCTGTCAAGCAGTGCTTTAAGTCCAAAAAGGTTGAGAACTTCGGGTGGGTGGGGTGTGTATTGATGTTACATTATTGCATATAAATAAAACTAACTGAAGCTTAGAGCATTTAATCGGTAAACTGAAAACAAGAACTGAACTGAAAATAAACTAATTGTAGAGAATCTGTTCAATAGATTTAAGAATATCTACTTGTTATACAAATGGGTCTCAATAGTAATCAAGGAATTGGATCAGAAATAAAGCACAGTGTAAATTAATTATTGTGCTTTTTTTTTTACAAATATAAAAAATGATTTTTTTCTTAAACTGGAAGTGTGATGAAAACAAGTGAAGAATTTTGAAGATGCTCAAAACAATGGCGTAAACCACTTCTTTAAATGGAGATGTTTTCCTAGCAGGATAAAACCATGAAGAGTGCAAAAGGAAATGAAAGAATTATACATAAGCATAGAGAACTGCTTTTCTGGCTGCAGTAACCCTGGCAAAGAGCATATATTTGGCTTGACACTGAGATATGTATTTAACTTCTGTGGAATTTTTCAA